CGCGCAAAATCGTCCCAGTACTTTAGTACTGTACATTTAGTTCTGGAACTAAAGCGGTGCGAAAGGCCCTAATATGGCACCGGTACCCATGTAACCGGTATGTATTAGAACCGAATCAGAACGCAGATTTCGGTGCATCATTTCGGTGCCATGCCTGAGCGATCAATTGAAATATTTGTCATCTGGTTCTCCGAAACGGACGTAAGAAGCATCGTGTGATCTGATGTGGCTTCTTGTCACAGAATGAGGCAGAAAATATGTTCCATAGGCTATTTTAAAAAGAATACGTAGATTAGCAATGGATTATAAATGTACTTAATTATTATGAAAATACCGGAGATGGCTTGAATAACACAGATAAACTATATTGTCGCAGTTGAGTGTTTATTGTCTTTGTTTTATCATTCAAAATGTTTATATGTTCTGTTTACTCAGTTACAGCTATAATGGGGATGCCTTTGTCCATATAAGGGATTTCCTGGAGGGTCATGTGTTCCACTACTGGATACTGGATTGACTGGATATGTGGATTTTCTGTGTGAGGGCGCCCTCTGGTGTCCAGTATGAATAAAACAGACATCATGTGTTTACAGTGCTAATGGCCAATCCATAATTTTTTGGGGAATTTTTATTTATTTTTTTTTTAATAAGTATCAAGTCAGGCACCGTTTAGGCACTGGAACGTTTTAAATGTATCGATTTGGCACCGGTATCGAAAAAAACCCAAACGATACCCAACCCTATGGATAACCACTGTTACGTTTGCAGTGTCTGAATATTAACTCAAATGCTATTTTTTATTGAGTTCGGCTGCTCAAAGTTCATTATTACAGAGTCTACAGACTTTATAATGGGGTCACCACCTCCTCTTCGCCTCTTAAGGCACCATCAGAGACTGCAATGACTGTGCACAACGTTTGGGAGGGGAAAAACTAAATTAAGATCCTTGGAGAAACAGCATTGGTTAGCCTATAAATTGAGGTCTTGAGTCCTGGGGGAAGTGGTAGAAAGCTCCATTGAAGTTCATTACCCTATTTCCAAGAATTCTCAGTAAGTAATTCTCACCTTCTGTTATATACGGACCCATATAATACACAAAGGCGCCTATCTGAAGATTATGAAGATGTTTCTCTTCATCTTTTGAGTTTTTGTACATTTTCAACATTTAAGGAAAAACAGGCCTAATTTCTTAACAAAAAATCTAAACCAAGGACATGTGCACCTTCTGAGAGACTCTTGTGGGGCACAAAACTCACTGAAACTAATGCTACGGAAGGATACTGTGGCAAAAATGGAAAAGCATTTGCAGATCTCAGTTAGTATTTGCATTTGCCTAGGTGTACATTAAAGTCCCTATGATCCCCAGAAGCAAAGCAACTGATCTCTTGGTTATTATCATATTAGTAAAGAGTGTTTAGTCAGGCTTGAGCAACAGGGCTTGAGTGAGGTTTTTTTTGCAACATAAGAAACCATCTAATGTGAAAAGTCTGAAAAACTAGAGTACCTGATACCTTTCCTTTATATGGAAATGGAAAACAGACATTTATTCTCTTTTTATTGTCTATTCTTAAGCACTTTATAGGGTAAAATGTGCAAAAACGACAAAAAGAGAGACAGAATTATTTTATATGCATCAGTCTCAGTAAACTCCATCACAATCACCTCCAAAGACAATCCATCTTATTCTTTTCTTAACATGGATGCAGTTAATATGAAAAGGAACCAGAAGCAGTACCTACAGGTAGGGCTGGGCGATTTAGCAAAAAATTTAAATCTCGATATTTCCAGAATGTTTGACCGATTCTTGATTTTTTTAAGATTTTGAACTAGTCAACTTGAAAATGTAACTACAACATGATTCAAGTTACTTTTTCTTTATTAACCCTCTAGTTAAAGAAAATTCTATTCCAAGTGCAGCACACATGAAGTTGTCAACATGATGTAAATGTGAAACAAATCACTTGTTAAATATCTTTGCAAAAAAGATGCAAAAACTACCACTACATATTGTACAAACTTGTCTTATACATATTATGTGTTCAGAAATAATACGAGGAAAATTCTTTTAGAAAATCTCAAAAGTCAAGGAGCTGCTGAAACAGTTCTACTGCTGTCATTGAGTCTGTCCTGTGCACTTCAATAACTGTCTGGATTGGTTCAGCTACAAAATCAGACATCAGAAGACTACAGAGAACGGTTCGGACTGCTGAAAGGATTATTGGTGCCCCCCTGCCTACCCTTCAAGAACTGTATACATCCAGAGTGAGGAAAACGGCTCAGAAAATCACTCTGGATCCCTCACATCCAAGTTATCCCCTTTTTGAACTTTTGCCATCTGGCCGGCACCCTTATGAACGGTTAAATGTTCCCCACATTATGCAATAAAAATGTGCAATAACCTTATATTTATTTGTTACCACCTCCATCCTAGTACATCCCTGCATCTCATTCTATTCTATTCCATTCTATCATCTATAGCACAACTGTACATACAAATTTTTTTTTTTCGATTTCTTTTTCAATATTTGTCTATTTATATTTACATGTGTTTTTTTTTTTTAATTATTATTCTCATCTTATTTTTTATTGTCTGTGTTGTTGTTGTTGTCTCTGTGTACTGGAAGCTTATGTCACTAAAACAAATTCCTTGTATGTAAATTCCTTGCATACTTGGCAATAAAGCTCTTTCTGATTCTGATTCTGAAAACGACTGAAGGTATAACACCAGTAGACCTTTATTAACTATAAATGTTCTTTAAAAACAACAGCAGCTTTCAGCCTGTCACCATGATGCAAACATGAAATATCAGACCTACAGTAGTAGTTACAGGTTTTTTTTCGCTGTTTTCCATTGTTTTTCTATGTAAACATGACTGTTGCAGCGTCTCAGGCATGAAACGGCATTCTAAAAACACGGCGCTCAAGTTAAAAGAAGTTCACTCCCATCTTCTTGCATATTTTTCCTATTCCACTGCCCGCGTCACATCTTTGTCAACACAAAAGCGCATTCTGTGTGAATGGCGCTTAGCCTATATTTATGGTCATTCACAGAGCGCATCACGCATGAGCGGTTAATCACCTGCACCGACATGCGGTTGGATCGTTCTTTTCTCTTTACTGTTATCACCGGCATATTGTCAAAGTGTCTAATTCTAACATTTGGTAATATTTCTATTGAAAATCGCAATTCCTCGATTTCTAAAAAATAAAATCGTGGTAAAACAACAAATTCGAATTAATCGATAAAATCAGGAAAATCGCCCAGCCCTACCTACAGGTACCGTTTTTGTGTTTATGTAAGTGCATTTTAAGTAACTCACTCTGGCTTTGGCTGGAGTTGCCACTCAAGCCTCCTGCCCAGGACCATCTCTGCTGCCGAATCTCTGCCCATGTCTTCTTACCAGACCTCTGGATGGCCGCCTCATACCGCTCCTGAACAATAAATAAATAAAGTGTAGCAAACACTTTATATTGCACATTTAGATATAATGGGCACTAGGAGCAAAGGAGATGGTATTGATCTTTCAAAGGGGAAAACTCAGAGCCCAGTTTATTTGCTCCACTTTCACTGATAAACAACTCATCTAGCATTACTCGGAAAGCTGAAAGGGAAAACAATGCCTGGCACGTTGGCAAAAACCTCACAGACTCAGAACCTCAAAGTGTGTAAATTAGAAGAACAGGTTGTGTCATGTGGGTTTGCACTGAACACCACTACTCTCTCACCTTGTTCTTCTCAAGTTTCTGTTTCTGTCTCTCCTCTAGCTCTGTGCGGCGCCTCTCTGCTTTCAGCCGCTGCTCCTCCAGCTTCCTCCTCCGCTCCTCCAGCTGCTGTTCCCGCACCTGCCGGGCCCGTTCCTCCTTCTCCAGCCACTGAGACTTTTTAGCAGCTACATGATAGAGAGGAAGAGCCTGTTAGCTACCAAACCCAGGCCAGCATGCTGACCTTCAGTTATCAGTGTTTGAACAGAATTCAGACACCCATCATTCAATACATTCCCAATTCCTAATGCATGTTCAATTATTAGATATTTGATCACACGTTTTTGGCACCCAATAAGAGTGAAGCCCTCTCAGGTCCATTTTACCATATTAAATTGAGCTGATTTTCTAGGTTCGGAATGACACAAGGGTGAGAAAATGAAATAATTTTTATTTTTGGGTGAACCATCATTTTAACATAGACTACCGTTTCAAACGTTTTGGGACGGTAAGATTTTTTAATGCTTCTGAAAGAAGTCTCTTCTGATCACCAAGGTTGCATTTATTTGATCAAAAATACAGTAAAAATAGTACTACTGTAAAATATTACAACTCAAAATATGTTTTCTATTTTAATATATTTAAAAAAGGAATGTATTCCTGTAATGACAAATCATTGTAATATGCTGGTTTCTTCAAAAACATTTCTTAATATTATCAATGTTGAAAACAGAAAAAGTAATGCTTAATATTTTGTAAAATATTGTAATACATTTCTTTTCAGGATTCTTTGCTGAATAGAAAGTTCAAAAGAACAGCACTTAATTGAAATATACTGTATATATTTATAACAATGTACAAGTCTTTACTGTCACTTTCGATCAATTGAATGGTTCCTTGCTCAATACAAGTATTAATTTAATTTTTTTAACTCTTACTGACCCCAAACTTTTGAATGGTAATGTATGATTAAATATCTTACAAGCTGTCAAATTTTGTATTCCCATCGATCTGGTTTAAATCTCTCAAGATGCTACAGTATAAGGGTTTATATCATCAATACTAACTAGTAAATCTTTACAATATCAGCAATTACATAACCCCTATTTAAGCACATGGTGAACATTATTCATTTACAAAAAGCTGTATGTTTATTTAACTTTGAGCTTTTTGTCTCAATAAACAGCATATTTCATATCCTAGTCATGTACTACTTAATAAAATAAATCAAAATCTGCATTCGTTTCGCATTTGTTTTGTGTCAAGTATATAAGAATCCTTTTGGGATATGTGGGTTTAAAACATTTTTCATTCATGAAATGCAACATCTTTTTAATTATGGTATATTACTTCATAAAATGACAATGGCACAACTTTAAACAAACACAAATGCAACCATGACAGGGACACTAATATGTTACTAGCTCCACTCTACACCATATAGAAGCTGTCTAGAAAGAAAAGAAAAACAACTTTGACATTAAAGCTAGCAAAAGCTAGCTGTACATTAACTGTTGGGCATATGTCGATTCAGAATAAATACTACCTGCTATTAGAGTATAAAAAGTGCTGAACATACCATTAATGTGCAATATCTACTGTCACTGCAATAAAGAGTGAAAGCAAGGCTTGACATGAAAAGACACTCCACTGGGAGCCTTCATCTCTTCTGAGGCTGGAGGTTTTGAGTCTTTTTCCCTGAGCTCCACAGTTATAAAATAGTGATGGCCTGAAAGTGCCCGGGTGACGTTCTTCATCAAACTTTCATAACCCTGCTGGCAGATAGATGAGCTGGAAGACGACCCACAGTCTGAGAGACTACACTACTTGTCCTACTATGAACATTTGACTCACTTGCTGCAGCCCACACAGATATTAAACATTAATGTGGAGGTCCATGGTGATGGTAGAAGAGATGGATTGATGAGTTCGATTGACTATGGCCTGAACTGTTAGGTCTCAATGACACACTTCACCCTTGTGTGACTGGAATGTAGCAGGATGTGTGTTTATCATGATTATATTCACATCAATCATGATTTATTCACAGTTCAGTCACTTCAAGACAGCAGCAGTTGTTATTTCTGGGTCTAAACGGATCCTGCAGTTTGTATGAAAACAAGCTTTCTAAAAAACACACATGTGAAGGGAGGTTTAGCGGTCAAAAGTTCAAATTTGGTGGACCTATGACCTATAACTGACCCCAATGCTAAACAACATGAATGCAGTGTATCATGTTATTGTCATATGTAAACCTACATGACGTTTTGACAGATTCACTGAAAAAAAAAAAAGTGTAAAAGAGAATCTCAAATAAAAAAAAATCTTAATTATGTTTGAGATAATAACCTAAAAATCAAAGTGTAAATTGGTTGATTTTCACATTTCCATCCTTTTATTAAGATACTGACAAGCCCCATCATGTTTGTTGTATGAAATTCACAGTGAGTCAATTGTGAAAGCGAAGCATTAGGGTAAAATCAGGAGGACAGCTGACCCTGCTGGAAAAAACAGGCCATACTTCAAATCAAACACATGGTGTGGCCAATACGAGCCAAGTCACAGAGCAATGAATGACCCCAATGAGCTGTTTTTTTTAATGAATCAATGTTTGAATCAGGTTTGAATCAGTCTTATGACTGAATGAACTCCCTGAATTCATCTGAGCAGTTGCTGAGTCAACTCACTTTCTGAACCGTTCGTCATTACTTGTACGTCATTACTAATAAACACTTGATTAAATTCCACAATATTCTAAAATAAACTAAATTAAATCTTTAAATCATTAAAATGTGTTACCATACATAATCATTGTATAGAAAACACAGACATATTTAACCAACTCAACCAGGTCCTAATCAGCTTAGTTGAGGTGATCTTTAGTAAACCATCTTATCAACCACCTAAACCAGCTTGAACCAGCTAATGACCATAAATTGCCAGCTTTGCCAAGTTATGTAGAAATGGTATTCATCAAAAATTGGTTTAAACAATTTTCCAGCAAGGGAGTATGACAACGGTGGCAGCTTTCCACTCAAAATTAAGACACACAACAATCTGTCACTAATTATGATTATGAGACACAATGGAAATGGAAAGCAGCTCTACAAGAGAATGAGCATTTGATAGAGAAAGGGATGAAGCGCATCAGTCACCAACACCACCAGAGACGGAGGAGTGGCTTACCTTGAGTCTGGCTACGCTGTTCTGGGGAGGGAAGGTGAGAAAGAAGACAAAAACATTGTGTCAATCATGCAAAGCAGAGCAGCACAGCGCAGCAATCTCAGCAGCCATAACAAGCACAGTGATATGACAAACAAAACATGGAGCATGCGAGATATTTAGAATTCTCTGAAGAGGAGAAAATCTCTAAGTGCTGGTTTAGTAAAGTCACAAAAGCAGTAAAACATTTAGAAAATATTTAATAGTCATAATTGTTATAACTAGGGAAAAGGTTTCAGGGCTGTCCAAACTCGGTCCTGAAGGGCCAGTGTCCTGCAGAGTTTAGCTCCAACCCTAATTAAACACACCTGAACCAGCTAATCAAGCTGTCTCATCACACTAGGCATAGAAACTTCCAGTCAGGTATGTTGAGTCAAGTTGGAGCTAACCTCTGCAGGACACCGGCCCTCCAGGACCGAGTTTGGACAGCCCTGGTTTATATTATTACTAATTAGGAGCCTAGAAAACAGTAAAAAGAGCTTGTATGCAACCCAGCGAGAGGGGATTTTAACAGTGTTTGCTGACATGTATTTGTCATACAATATTAATATATAAATATTAAAAGCAAGCATAATATACTGTAAATACATGTTAATATATAATCATTAATATTTAAATATTATTATATAAATATCCATCCATCCTTTTTCGAAACTGCTTTACTTGAAACTGCTTGTAGTGTCATCATATTATATATTTTTAAATAAGAATTAAAAAATAAATATGAATGTTTAAATGTTAAAAATATAAATGCCTATTAGTATAAGAGAAAAACAGAGATTTATAAAATATAAACTAAAAA